TTGCCTGACTTGAAGAAGGTGCATTCCCCCTGCCATGCAGGTGAACACATGAGACTCAGAATGGCTGGGGGTGTTCCGAAGGTCACACCCTGGCTGTCTGCACATTGAGGGCTCAGACCAAGTTCTTTGTGACTCCAGAATCAGTCCTTTTCATGAGTTGCCAACGAACCTAAAGATAGAAGTTAGGACCTTCCTTATTCTTTCCCTTGACTGCCTTTGCCAGCCAATGACGGGCAGCGTGTGACGGTGGGGATGGAGGCACCCGCAGGCCAGGCCGGAGTCTTCTCCGGTACTTAGTAGTCAGAGTGGTGAGACTCACAGACGCTGTCTCAGAAACCCGCAGCTTACACTCCATACCCAGTGCCTGGGTCCCCACCCTGCCTCCTGTAACTCCTCACCTGCCCGCTGCCTGTCTCCTCCTTCCCGTTCTGCCTCACAAAACAAGGTGGTTTTGGGTGAGCCAGCAAGGAGGCAGGAGTGAGTCAGCGTGCGTCTGTTAACACGCTGGGCTCAGTGGTTCCAGGGACCTACAGAGGCTCCAGGGTGCGGCAGTGGGACCCAGGCCTCTGCTTTCTGTTATTTATACATGGCTGTGGTGACGCCTGAGGGGCTTGCAGCACTCAGCGGGGCACTGAGGGTGAAGCTGCCTTCTCCCTTGGTGACGCCCCTCTGGGGTCTTCTTGTGGTCTGCGTAGCTGTGTGGAGCTGAACCGGGCCGCATTCCTGGAACCAGAGGGATTATCCAAGACCAGGAAGTCGGTGTTTATTACCAGGAAGCTGACGGTGTCGGTTGGTGAAATTGTGAACGGAGGGCCATTGCCCCCCGTTCCTTGTCACACCCCTGTGTGCAGCTTCAACTCCCAGAACAAGTACATCGGGGAGAGTCTGGCCTCGGAGCTGCCCGTCGGCACCCAGAGACCCGGCTTGGACACAGTGGGTGAGTGAAGCTGCAGTCGTAGTGAGGGGACTAGCTGCATTTTCCCATCAGGACGCCTCCCAGGAGCCTGGGCATCTGCATTTTCCTGCCGGGACGCCTCCCAGGAGCCTGAGCACCTGTTTTGTCTTGGAGCCCAGGAGTGTGGCTCTTCCCCATGCTCAGATGGTTCTCACTGGGAGTGGACTGAGGGCTTTGAAGCCCTCCTCCTGGCTCCCTGACATCTTGGGGCTTGTTTTTCATGCAAAGCATATTTGTCCCGTGTAGCTGGTCTCCTGGAGGGCAGGCCACTCCTCAGGGTCACTGTGGGTGGCCTGGGGCTGTCCCTGCACAGACCTTGGTCCCTATGGTGCCAGGCGCCCTGTGTCTGCAGCCATGTTTTCTCCTGTATGTTTCCTTCCAGGTGGAGGGAGAGGAGAGGAGTGTGGTGTAGAGCCGGACACACCCCTGCCCGGTCTCCCACAGTCTCTACCAGCCCTTGCACCCTCGCCAGTGCCTCTGCCTCCTGTCCTGGCACTGACCCCGTCTGCAGCACCCAGCCTCTTCCAGCTCTCCGTGCAGCCTGAGCCGCCACCTCCAGAGCCTGTGCCCATGTACTCTGACGAGGTAGGGACTCTTTTTTTCTAGGTCTGGACTCTGGGAAGCTCATTGTGCACAAATGTCCTTAGTCATCACCCCACGAAGTGGGGCTGTGGCGCCTGGTCTCTCAGGAGAGTCCAGAGAGGGGTCCTGCCTAGAGTCACTCAGCCTCCGGTGGCAGATCTGGGGCCCACCCATTCAGACTCGTTGTGGAGTCTGTCTGCATCTCAGGAGCTTCCTGTCACAGCACCGGCCTGAGCCCCTGTGTCTGAACTCAACACCCGTCTGTTCTGACGGGATTATTGGCAGCATTGTGCGCCCCCTGATGTGTGTGACCTGGGATGGCATGTCCTGCTGGTGGGTGTGGCCTGGGTGGGTGTGTCCCCTGTGGGTGTGGCCTGGAGTGGGCATGTCCCCCTGGTGGGTGTGGCCCCCCAATATGCATGGACTGAGTGTGGATGTGTCCCCTGAAGGGCATGTCCTGGGGTTGGGTGTCCCCACTGATGGGTGTGGCCTGGGGTGGGTGTGTCCCCTGGCGGGTGTGCCCCCTGATGGGTATGGCTCGGGGTGGCTGTGCCCCCTGATAGGCATGACCTTGGGTTGGATGTGTCCCCTCTGGTGTGTGTGGTCTCTGTGGCTGTGGACCCTGATGGGCATAGCCTGGGGGTGGGTGAACCCCTTGACCAGCCTGGCCTGGGGGTGGGTGTGCCCCTTGATGGTTGTGGCCTCAGGGTGGGCATGGCCCCTACTGGTGCCTTGATATTGAGTAGAGCCTGTCGACTCTATGGTGGTGAGACTGGATTGTGCCACTCTGGCTGTTTAGAGGCAGGCACTGGGCACCAGCCTGTCTGGGGATCGGGGAGTTCTGAGAGGGAGCATGGAGTGGCCACAGGAACAGAGGCTGCTTGACGTAGACTGGAGATGACTGGGCCAGGGCGCTGTGTGGCCATCTGCAGGGCACCTTCTCTCCAGATGGCACCTTTCCATTCGCTAGGGGACACCTTTCCTGCAACAGCCTAGCTGACCCCGTGTCAGGGGTCATGTGCTTCTGTCATGAGACGCCTGCAGACTGGTGACAACATATTACCCAGGATTTCTGCCCTGGGTGGGACGTTCCGTTCCACCCCACGCTGGTCTCTCCATAGGACCTGGCGCAGGTGGTGGACGAGCTCATCCAGGAGGCTCTGCAGAGGGACTGTGAGGAAGTCGGCTCTGCAGGCGCTGCCTACGCAGCTGCTGCCCTGGGGTGAGTGGCATCTGGTGCTCCCCTCCTGCTGCTCCAGAAGTTTCCTCTCAGAAAGTTTCCTCTCATAAAGAACTTCTGCCAGAAGTTTCCTCTCATAAAGTTGCCTGCGTTTTTGGGTCATAATCCAATAAGTTATTGCCAGAGACAATATCATGAAGATTTTCCCCTACATTCTTCTTTTTCAAGATGGTTTTGCTATTTGGGGTCTTCTGAGATACCATGCAAATTTTAGGATGAGTTTTTCTGTTTCTGCAGAAAGTGCTGTTGGGATTTTGATAGGGATTGCGTTGAATCTGTAGATTGTGCTGGGTAGTACTGTCTTTTTTTTTTTTTTTTTTTTTTTTTTTGAGATGGAGTCTTGCTCTGTTGCTCAGGCTGGAGTGCAGTGGCTTGATCTCAGCCTCACTGCAACTTCCACCTCCTGAGTTCACGCAATTCTCCTGCCTCAGCTTCCCTAGTAACTGAGATTACAGGTGGGCACCAGCCTGGCTGATTTTTTTATTTTTTGTAGAGATGCCTTTGCCATGTTGCCCAGGGGTGGTCTTGAACTCCTGGCCTCAAGTGATCCACCTGCCTCGGCCTCGTAAGGTACTGGGATTACAGGCATGAGCCACTGTGCCTGGCCAGTATT